AAGGCTTCCGACAAACAAGTAGTTATTCAGGAAGGAATTTTGGAAAAGTTAAATGTAGGTGAAGCAGTCATGACTGACAAAGGATTTTTGATTGACGATGAGTGCAGGAGCAGAGGAATTAGTAAGGCCACCGTTTTTAACCTCCCCAAAAACACAACTGAGTAGACATGATGCTACAGATAACATATCGATAGCAGCAGCAAGAGTACATGTAGAGCGAGCAATTCAGCGGATCAAGCAATTTGATATTCTAATCGACAAAATTGATACAAATTTCTTGCCTATTTTGGATGATGTCATGATCATTGCTTGTGCAGTTGCTAATATTTCCAAGCCAATCCTCTCAAATGAAAGATTTTAGAAAAGTATTGAATAAAGGTTTCAGCATATTCAAAAAATGGTTGTTTTGTTTCTCTTTTTATAAAATAACAACTATGTACATAAAGTGTACTCCAAGAGATGTATTATGTGACGTATACAATATTTTTAAGAAGGCATTGAAGTAAACTTCTTTAAGAAAACAAATAATTGGTTGTAGATATTCTTCATCATAGTGAATCGTCTGAACATAACGCTTGTCTTCAAACTCAAAGTAAATTATAAAATCCGCCGAGCTACATTTCATTCTTTGTTAGGTACTTCAATTTTTCTAAGGTTTCATTGAGAGAAAGGGTATTTCCAACCACTGGACATTTAACCTCAATGACCTTCGTTTCATCGATTATAATCCCATCAGGGGAGCATCCAAGCCAGGGAATATGTGGTGGGATTGTGAATCCACATTTAGTCACAATCTTTTTAAAATCTCGCATGTAAGCATTTATAGCCAATGGTTCACAACGGATACCATGATCAATGGCAAATGTGTGTATTTCTTTTGGCACAACCATGTTGATAATTTTTTTTTTCTCCAATTCTTCAGCTTTTCGGTATTTGATGAATAGTACGTTTACAGAGAATATGCGTTAGAAGCTGTAATCCGACGTGTTCTTTCGGTCATTCAAACTGGGGAAATACGTTGATCTATTGTATTCAAACAAATTTGAATGGATTCACTCTCTGACACACGAACTTGAAGCTCATAGAAGATGCTGAGGTGTGCATCCAATGAATCAATAAAATACAAATGTTCAATGTTGGTTGGAGTATGCCATTCACTGCAGAAAGTTGCCTTCAAAAATTTAGTTAAAATTGAAGCATCGGTATCCTGAAGATCTAAGAACTCATCTAACAAACTAACGTTCATAGTTTCATCCCTAATCGAGTTCTCAATATTCTCTTGAGGCCTAGGTCTGCCATTTAGTTCGTAGCATGGACTGCTATCAGGAAACTCTATAAAAAGTATCTATGGAAAAATTTAATTTTATGCTGTATAATTTGACAAACTTTGTAAAAAAGAATCCAAAATTGAAGCCGCTTCATCTTCTTTTAATTGTATTTCGAGATGCACTTTGTTTGGATCTCCTGGGGTTTCAGGTTCCTTTCCAGAACTGTTTCGAGTTTTACGACAAAACTCACTAATCCTTGTGGCCTTGTACATATCTCCTGCCACCTTCAACGCTACCTTTCCCAACTTCTGTTGCAAATCTGTAACAGTCAGAATAGGGATGGAAGGATGCCTACAAACATAAAATTGTTAATAAATGTTTGGAATAGTAACATATTTTATCTTACATGAATAGATGATTTAGAACGGCCATTACATGCTTGCATTTACCTAAGCCAGCTTTGCACGAGCACTGGAAGGTCCAATTTTCGAATGAACATCTAGTACGAATGTAGATTTTGTGAGGCTCCGAGCTTGGCGACGATGACTTCAGGCACGATGCATTCAGTTGTAATCCATCGTCGTACACAGTCTGAAAACCTACCAGCAGCAAATGATTAGCCCTGCAAACTCTTTCTCCCTCGACGATCAATCTGCTGCCTCCGGAAGCATAGTGCAACATATCAAAAAGCTGCACTTGTACGCGAATTTCGGACTGGAGATCGTCAGGTAGAGCCTAAAAATATTGTTTTAAAATCATTATTTTACTTGACTGGAATAAACTTCTCGAAGTGAATTCCACTAACATGTTATGAACACATCTTCTAGCAATACTTTGAAACCGTATTTTCAATCAAGTACAGATATTTTTTTTCATAAATTTGTGAAAAACGTTGAGCATTTTTGTTTATTTCAGAAAACATCACTTGGAAAAATAGAAAAATAAAGCAAAAGCAATACACAAAATTTGATGCCGATTAATAAAAAATCATCTAGAGATGTTACTCTAACACATAATACTTACCATTTATTTCAATAAAAGTTCAAAAAATTTCAAAAGCTCTGCCAAAAACCTATTACTTTATGCGCGGTTTGTTTACGTCACGCTTCACACATATGAGCTGTCAAAAATCACTGGTGTCAAGGCGAATAGAGAACAACTAGTGCAAGTTTGATCAAACTAGTCTATCGCGTTCAGAAGTAACGTCAAATGGAACTCGAAAGAAGCAAAAATATTGTGCACAAACACCTGGAAAATCCGGAGTGGTTCGGTTCCAAGCTGGCTAAAATGCTGAAGATGCCGAAAACAACAGATCGTCGAGTGCTCAAAACCTACAAAGAAACCCTGAATGAGGAAAGGAATCAGCGGACCTACGAAAAAAAATGGAACCAAGGATCGTCAGCTGCGCAGCAAGGTGTTGATGTACGTTAAAGCCAATCCCGGTCTTTCAATCCGAGATGTGGCCAGCTTTCAAACGGTGCGGAACATCCTTGCCAGGGAAAGATACAAGTCGTACAAAGCCAGTAAACATTCGAACCGGCGCATGAAGCAGAATTTCATGGCCAAAAAGCGTGCAAGGCTCTTGTACGACTGTGACGAAACACAAGGGCTGCACTATGATCGATGACGAAACATACGTCAAACTCGATTTCAAGCAGCTTCCCTGCCAAAAGTTTTACATCGAGACTGGACGTGGGGATGTGCCAAGAAGATTCAAGTTCGTGTTTGCCGACAAGTTCACGAAGAAGGCCATGATTTGGCAAGCGTTTTGCAGTTGAATTTACTCTATCCAATGATTTGTTATCAACAGATTGATTGCCGAAAGAGTGTGCTTAAAATCAACAAGAAACCGTTTTCAACTAGGATTATTTTTCTAGTGGTTTCAATTGTTCAACAACTTATTTGGAAAGCTAAATTTGATAGGGAGGTGAAGTTTGGTGCATCCGTACGATATCGAATTTGTATTTATGAAATCTCATGCAGCTCATGCTGTCAAAAAAAGAAAGAAATCGCTGTTGCTTTTTCTCGCGAAAACTGCTAGGAGCGTATAATAATCTCTCGCTTCTCACATTCTCATCTATTTCTTCTAGCAGATGGAAAATTACGTTTCTCTTCTCAAGAAGGCAAAAATTACGATCTCTGCTTATGGATATTACAGAATTTACCCTTATGGATCTATAAACTTCCTCAATTTTCCAAACTTTCCTGTAATTCTTGGAACATTTCTGAAATTTTTGAACGATCTCTGAATGTTACGGATTTTCCTAAAGTTTTTGAAACATCGCTGAAGTTTTCAAAGGTGAACTTAAAAGCTCTGAACTTCCCTGATATTTTCAGGAGTTCCCTGAATTAGTTCCCAGGAGTTCCCCAGAACTTCCAATAAGTACCTGAAATTTTTCTAAATTTAACGGGAGTGCCTCGAAGTTCTCTGATATATACCACGTAAACAAGGTTGATCCAATCATGCGCTAAAATGTCTAAAAAAATATATTTAAATGTTTGAATTACGTGTAATGATGTTAAAATCTAGAGTCTATGTACACATTATTTTTAATTCGATGGATTTTTGTTTCAAGAATTTTTTTTATAGAGTAGAACAACATTTCATCACTGGAGCAGTTTAAAATGACGTTTCCTACCACTCGATCGTTGTCGTGGAACAATATTTTGAAAAAAATCTTCTAATTACTAATTTGTTTACCCACAAGTGATCAACTGGTAAACAAACAAAGCCCTTCCATCTTCTTATCTTCACGCGGTCTGCAAGTTTATTAAATCTGTCTATCTATATTGTAACAATATGCTGCCTACATGCCGTTGCAACGCGTTAGTTGAGTCACTCAATGAGCCGATGAGCTTTTACATCACACTGCAGCAACACTTTATTATGTAGCAGTGCATCGACAGCCATTGTATCGTCTCGTTTATTAGGCACACGTGGATTAGACCATTATCTTGTCCCATAGACGCTGCTCGAAGCGATATTCTCACCCTCGTAAACCATCATGCGATCACAGCACATGCAGTTTCATATTAGTACCGTAAGCCGGGGGCAAATTAGTTACTTATTAACGTAAATATTGGAATAAATTAATATAAATAAGTATTTTTTTTTTCCTCTGATTTGTTTTCCGTCTATCTTGTTTTCCGTGCTGAGCACCAATGCTACCGACGCCAGGGAGGCAGCTCCCACACCTGGACCCTACCTATCGACTCATCCGAGGACTCATAAACTCATGAACCGAGAAAGGCGTGATCAGAGATATTATGCCTCAGAACATCCCGGCGGCGCCGACTGGGATTGAACCCACGCCTGCTGGGGTGAGAGGTAATCGCGCTTACCACTACACAACCGGCGCCGCTATATGTACATGGATGAACTAGATATATTAAAATCTGCAGCTATGAGAGCTCTATCGTTCTACATGGTTGTTTGGTAGGTTGTCTTTAACGAATGCATTAACAAAAATTGACTGATTTTAGCGATTTTTCATGCGATTGGAGGAGAATGCACCTATGCATCGCCAATCATAGCAACCCTGTTGTGTACAAAAAAATTGACAGCGTTATCAGTTGATTTGCAGCAGCCATGGCGAAAACAGTCAAGCAACTACGGTTGAAGGTTTGTTCGTACTGTCAGCTCCACCCCGGAGCGAAGAAGTTGGACATCGTGAGGCACTTCGTGTCCGCCGGATATAACCGATCTGACATTTACAACATCCTCTCCCGAAGAAAGGCGAGAGCGTCGAATGGACGCCTGGGTGCTGCGCGACCGTAAAGTGCAGCAGAAGCTGAAGCGGAAGACCAAGGATAAGGTGGCTTCATCGTTCCGCTTCTTGGACCAAAGGGTAGAAACAACCGGCCAAACGGTGAAGAAGTACAGGGTCAAGATGGCCATTATTGTTATGTGGAAGCGTCAGTCGAGGCCAAACGTTTCTGAGCAGCAGGCATTCACCCAGAAGAAGAAATTAGTTCATTTTTTTAATGCATACGTTATTAATAAGATTTTCACCCAGACGATGGTTTATCTCCGGACGTTCTGCATGGTTACTTATCATGGATAAGTAATCATGCAGAACCAGAGGTTGAAATGGTTGACGTTTTCGCTCGCTTCGTGCGCGACAGTCTTTTTGTTTTCGTACAGTCATTCTATACCGTCGTCTCTCTCACACAACACAAACGACATTCGAGCAAAAAGAAAAAAATCAAATTACTATCATATGACAATGTATGTTTTCGTCCTAATTCCTCAGTTTTGAGTAAATTAAACCATTTCTGAGCATAAACGTAATTACTTGGACCTCATTGCTTGCTATTTTCAAAATTCCCACAAGCACAACGTTAGCAGCTCTTATTATGTACCGTTTTAGTTTGAAGCGAACCCTCACCTGGGTTGCAAACTAAGAGCTGTCAAACCGATAGTTTGAACCTAAGAGAAGAGGTGACAATACGAGGGCGAAAATGAACCAATTTTCTGTCAAACGTGAACCAGCTCCTGATTGGTCGATTTCATGTGCGTAAGATAAAGATAGAGATAGAGATAGAAATAAAAGAGGAAGAAGCCAATTGTCACCTCTTCTCTTAGGTTTGAACGCCAGTTACCTACCTAGCTGCGCCACCAAGCAACCTGGAAAACGACTTGGTTCAAAGCCGATTTTTTTTTTCAAGGTTCATCAGTTTCACGCATACATTCAAAATTTAAGGTATGGGCGAAATGTCAAAAAGGTAAACAACAACAGAATCAGTGTTGTGTTTGGATAAAAACAACAGTCTTGTGGAAATAAAACAAGTTTGTGATTGAATTTTGTTTTCAAGGCGGTAAAAGGAAATTTAAAAAGAAATGGATAATATATTTGCGGAAGCACTTTGTGCATGCTTTTCTTCGAGCAGCTCTGAAAGCCCCAGCAACTCAAGACGCATTTCGCGCCAAATCGTATTCGGAACTGGCAGCACCCTCTCAGATTTCAATGAAACTTTCTGGATGTGTGGACCTTGACTAAATATGCCACTTTGCATACTTAGTTTTTCCAAAATTTATCTAGACTAACATTTAAGAAGGGCCAAACTTTTTCTGCCGATTAAAAAAAAAATATTATGGAAAAATGACAACTCCTACAAAAATGTGTTATATGGATGACTTTTAGGAAATCGTCCAAGTTATCGAAAAAAAAAACATTTGAGACCTACACTGAAAAAAAATGATTTTTAAAATTTAAAGTCGATTTAAAAAAATGGCCATGTTTGATTTGGATGAAACTTTGCCTCAAGATAGGTTATTATGTTTACTACCAACCGTCAATACATCGCGAGATGGACACTTTTAAGGAAAAAAGTTTTTCTTACAAAAACTTTTTCATGTCTGAACTGATTTTTTTAACGTACCATTTTTACACAAAACTAAACCAGTGAAGCTCAAAATCATCTCAGAACCCAATGAAGCTCCATTTCGAATTCGCGGATACATTGGCCGGTATCTTACACGATGGTGAAATAAAAATTCATGTAAACAAAAGGAGGATTGCGGATTTCATTTCGGAAGCCGTGGACAAGTATACGGAGGAAGAGGTAGGAAATTAATGAAAACCAAATCGAATTAAATCAGCTTATATTGCAGTTCCGCTGTAATTTTCGCGTCTACAGGAGTACTGCAGAGTTCACACTTCGAAAACTTCATGTAATTTTAAGTCTCCTAAAACCGACACATGTAAGCGACTCAAATGACATACAATTACGTCCGTTAGTATTTTTACATGTCGTAAAATGAAGCAAAATTGTAATTTTACGCGTTCAAGTTTGTTGACATGTAAAATTATAATGAGACGTATTTTTCAGATGCCTACGGAATGTTCCGTCTAATGGCTATAGGAAAAGGGATTTACATTACAGATTTAACCAAATCCGCAATTTCGAATTCCTGCACAACCTGTGAAAAGATGCAAGGAATAAATTGTGAACAATGACTTTGAACGTCCATGATTCGTGGATTAAAACTCATTCAGAAAAATCGACAGCAGGATCTGGTAAAGTAAATTTCGTTTACCAGATGCTGATGTCGGCTTGCCTGAATTAGTTTTAATCCGTGAAAAATCGACATTCATTGTCATTGTTTACGTATGGTTGATTGACTTTTTAACATGTTGCGCTTGAATTCAGTAGTCCTAAAATAAAAATTAAGACAAACAGTAAAAGGGACTTCAGATATTCAAATACACACACAAAATAACCACAGAATTAAGGTGTCAAACTATTTTTTGAATAAACATACTTTAGCTTTAGAATGTTGAAGTTTTTATTAGTCGAGTTCTTGCTAACATTACATTTACATTATAAATCAACTCATGTAAACTAATGTTATGAAAAATATTCCAAAATGGAAAACACCGGTATATAAAAAATATGGAATTTAATATTAAGTTCTGTAACCAATGATCTTTTATAGAGCTTCCACTATTTATTGGATCACGACATCCGGTGACTTGGTTTTTCGAAATTAGTTTTAGAAACAATGTACCGAACACCATTTCCATGCTTTTTCGCACTTCAATTAATTTTTCCACCAAGTTATTTTGCACTTGATGACGATTCCGGAACCGGATCGTCAGCACTGATTTCAGGATATGCTTCCTGCACCAGAGGGAGTTGAACTTTTGGAAGATCTTTCTGCATTGCAATCCTCCGGTGATAATACATATTATGTATTTTTAAACTGTTGGTTGTGACGAATGGTTTACCGGTTCGACATTTCAGCGGACAAAATTCCGGATGTCGCTCTGAAATATGCCGCATGACGTGTTTTGTCATTAATTTGAATTCCAAACATTCAAAACTGCATGACAAATCCGGACATTCCATCTGTACGTCTTTTTTTCGACCAACATGGCGCTGACGGAGGTGCATCTTGTATGCCGCAAATGACTTGAAAACCACCGTGCATTGTTCAATGGGACACTCAAAATGTTTATTATTTTTATGCAACCGAACATGCTTAATATAAAAATCATTATTTTCGGTAGCCACATCACACATTTTACACTTTAACACAATTTTTCACATAAACGAACCACTCACGGCCGACGACGTTGAAGTTTTCGCTTGCGTTGGCCCAGCGTTCGTTCGTGTAATTTTAAGTCATCCCACACCGAAAAAAAAGTGTGCCCGCATAATTTTGAGTACACGCATGTAAAATTATATGTCATGAAGTAATATTGTGAGGTTTATGATGGAAAGTTGCTATAATATCAGTGCTAACATTTGAAAACGGCACAAAAGCCATTTGTAAACAAATGGTTTGTGGGCCCTTTACTCACTACTTGAAGTACACCCACGCGACACAACAGCAACATCGGGTAGGGGAAATTTTCCCCTTCCTTACGATGCTGTTGGTTTGCGTGGGCGTTCTTCGGGTAGCGAGTAAAGGGCCCACAAACCATTTGTTTACAAATGGCTTTTGTGCCGTTTTCAAATGTTAGTACTGATATGACCGCTAATTTTGTGTGCGTCTTTTGAAACGTAAAATTAAGTTAATTTTATAATTACGTCATGCAATATTAAGTCCGTTTTTCGATTACGTCTCATTTAATAATCATAATTTTTTGGTGTGTTGCTAACCCAGAAATACGAAGGATCCGAATTTTACAGAGTAAAGGAAAAAGGTGGACGAAAGGAAATCTCCGCCAAAGCTCAAATGTTGAGTTTTTTTTTGTGGTACGTATCAGAAAATATCAACTACAATCCGGAGTGGGTCCGGGAGAATGGAAATCGGCTGTACTGCAAAGAAATTTTTGTGAAAATATATACTTTTGATCCATATTATGATAATATAATGCTGCGCCATATCAACAATCAATACGAAACTAACGATTTTAAATTGGCTCACTACTTGACTAGCCTATTGGTCCCAAGCAAACGATCATCGTACCCCATTCTGGTCGAAATTCTACTACTACACAATGTTTGTTTTGATTCGCTATGAAAGTTTGACAGATAACATGAGGGGTTAGTGGATTTTTGAGGCGTGAATCGATTAGCTTGGGACCTAAGAGAGTACCAGAGCTGAACCAAAAAGTTGAGCACGGTATTTCGGGACCTTCTAGTCTTAGAGTTACCTCTATGGCCATATGCCGTATGAACCATATGAGACACCGATTACTCCAAGATAAGTAGTCTCCAGAAGATCCAAACACCCGTAAATGTGGTCCAATCATGAACATGATTCTAAATCTCCGTTTTTTTAACTTCGCTTATTATAATTTAGAAGTATACATTTTTACAGAAATTTCTTCGCAGATCAGTCGATTTCCATTGTCCCAAATCCTTCAGATTGTAGCCGATTCCTTGCAGTCATGATGGCTTATAAAGCTTGTATCTTACCATTCATGCAATTAGAATGAAAATCGAATTCATGAATTCATAAATGTAAACAACATTTCAATTTACCCAGTTCACCGCGCGAGTGATAGTTAGAAGAAACTAACCCAGTTTCGAACCTGGTTCACCAAACTAAAACGGCATAAAATACATCAATACAAGACGGTCTTTCGGCGACATATACTGTTATATGACATTTTAGTTTGGTACTGTATTTTGATAGCATATTTTGCAAGTGTCGGAAGCAAAGGAATGCCAGAATGATGCGTCGACTTCGGTGACCGCTTATAGCACTACTTATTAAGGTGAAAGTTAAGGCTTTTCCGTTGATACTGACTCCATACTCGTTCGAACCACACCCAAATTCAAAATGCATCAATACAAACAAGCATTGCAATTTCGCAAAATGGAAAAATATTGAATTTTTGGCAAATACAATATTATTGTGTAGTTATATTAATTCTATTTCTGAAATGACAACTTCAATTCCAAGACTCCAAGGACAGGAAAGTCGTACTGAAGTTCAGGGAGGTCTTAGCGTAGTTCAG